GCATGTGAACTGGCCTTGTGGCCTTGACCTTGTGCTCGGACTGTGTGGTGACGTTGTGATCCACCCTGAGCTTTGTCTGCTTTGCTGAACTGGTCTTGTGACCCCTTGTTCTCCCCCATTTTGCCTATGGGGGTGTGTCAAATTATAATATTGTGTAGGCTATATTGGGGTAGCCCATATGGGGTACACATTTCTAGGGTTGCATATTTGTATCACTTCCATTCCTTAGTCATTCATTCTTTATAATTGTCTACAGTGTAGAGTGTAGCACATCCCAATTTGCTGTAGGTGGTGCACCAAACTTCTCCTTGCTATATTTTGCACTCATCTTTCTTAGCAAAGTCACTTCTTCTTGCTTCAACTCTCTCGACACCTCCTTCAACCCTAAAACCTAAGTTCTTAACCACTAAAGCTATGGCTCCTAAGCCTAGATGTCATTCCTCTTTCTAACATGGTATCTAGAGCGAGCATGTTCCTGCCGCCTAGCTTAACGGGCCCACCAACTGCTTCTGCTGCCGTACCTATCCGTGTCACGCCCCGTGGTGCGCGGCGCTACATTTTTCTTCCCGCCACGCGCTCCGAGCGCATGGCGGCTTTTTCTGCCCGCCACGCGCCCCGAGCGCGTGGCGGTTTCACCGTCCGTCAAGGCGCCCTCAGGGGGGCCTTCGCGCTGCCCTCCTCCGTCGCCCCTCGCGGTGGCCGTGGGGCCTGCGAGCTGCCCCCCCCCCCCCCCCCCCCCCCCCCCCCCCCCCCCCCCCCCCCCCCCCCTGGTTGCTCGTCGCGGCGCCTTCAGGGGGCCCGCCCGCTGCTCCCCTTGTCGCCCGTCACGGCGCCTTCAAGGGGCCCGCCCGCTGCTCCCCCCCCCCCCCCCCCCCCCGTCGCCGACCCTGCAGTAGCGTGCGACCTGCCTGTGCAGCAGCTCGCGACGCCACCCCTGCAGCAGCGCGCGACCCGCCCCTGCAGCAGCGCGCGACCCGCCCCTGCAGCAGCGCGCAAGCCGCCCCTGCACCAGCTGCAGCTCGCGACGCCGCCCCTGCAGAAGCGCGCGACCTGCCTCTGCACCGGCAGCAGCTGCCCCTGGCCCCTGCAGCAGCCGCCCCTGCAGCAGCTGCCCCTGACCCCTGGAGCAGCCGCCCTTGGCCCCTGGAGCAGCCGCACCTGCAGCCGCCCCTGGCCCCTGGAGCAGCCGCCCCTGGCCACTGGAGCAGCCGCCACTGCAAGAGCCGCCACTGGCCCCTAGAGCAGCCGCCCCTGGAGCAGCCGCCCCTGCAGCAGCCACCCCTAGCCCCTGGAGCAGTTGCCACTGCAGCAGCCGCCCCTGGCCCCTGGAGCAGCCGCCCCTGCAGCAGCCGACCTTGCAGCTGCCCGCGACGCCGCTCCTGGACCCTGTGCAGCCGTGAGGGGAGGGTATGGGGGTGGCGGGTGTGGGGGTGATGAGTGTGGGTGCTACCCTTCCCCTCCTCCTCCTCCTTCTTCGTCTCCCACTGCTGCAGCTGCCGCTGAAGGGGGGTGGATGTGTGGGAGCCGAGGGGAGTGGAGCTAAGGGGGTGCCGTGGGAGTGGAGACAGGGGTGCAGCAAAGGGGTGTGTGAGAAGGGGGTGTGGGACTGTTAGGGGAGGTAGAGCGGAGGTCGCCGTCGTGTCGTCAGCAGCGCCAGTAGTCCGGAGCCCTCGTGCTCTCTGTAGCCCAGCGAGCCTGCTTCGCCAGTCGCCTGTGGGTCCGTTGCTCCTGCCGCTCGTCGTAGCCGCGGAGCCAGATACTCCTGTAGTCCGGTGCCCTCGTGCGCTCGGTAGCCACTGTGCGCGCCGCTCCTGTTGCCCGTGTGACTGCGGCTTCACCTGTCGCCTCCTATCTCCACTCCTCTCACAGTCCCTCCTCCTCCTCCTCACTTCGCCTCTTCTTCTGTTGCGCCATGCAGGGTGTACCACTTCAGGGGGTGTTCTGTACATGGTTCTCACTGCAATCAATTAGGGGGTGTGTTGAACTATATTTATATGTGTTATTTATAATTGTCTGCAGTGTAGAGTGTAGCACATCCCAATTTGCTGTAAGTGGTGCACCATGCTTCTCCTTGCTATATTTTGTACTCATCTTTCTTAGCAAAGTCACTTCTTCCTGCTTCAACTCTCTCGACACCTCCTTCAACCCTAAAACCTAAGTTCTTAACCACTAAAGCTATGGCTCCTAAGCCAAGCTGTCGTTAGTCATTCTGACATATGATACCGACACCCACCCGCACATGTGTTTGAGGCGACTCAAATGGCAAACACGGTACGTCATTCCCGCGTATTGAGGTATGCGGTGGCGTCTGTGGCCCATCGCTTGAGCGAGGAGCGCGGGTGGTTGAGCTGCCAGCGGTGGTTGTTTATGTCCTGCTCGACTCGCGCCTGGGGATGGAGCCTGCCACAAACACGTGCGCATGCGCACACACGAGCTTGCCCACAATCGCCACGATGCCTGCACGTGGTAGGTGCGAGTGGAGGAAGTGCGATAATAAACACTCATCCTGAGTGCAACGAATGCAGGGAACTCGTGTGCGTGCGCGCACACCAGTTTATCTACTATTGCCACGATGCCTGTGAGTGGTGAGGGGGAGAGGTGGACAAGGAAGAGTGCAAGGAGGAGAGGGCAGTAGAAAGGGTGCGAGCAATACGGGGAACACTTGTGCGTGCACACACACCAACCCGTCACCAGTGCCCGTCCATCACCACTGCACACCACCCCGCACTGCTCCCCACCACTCTACACTCACCGGTATCGTACTGGTTGACCTCTAGAAGCACCTTGTCTACCATCAGAGCCCCCCCACGTGCTCTTGCAGCCACCACAATTTGCTCCTCGCCCTCACACACCCGCCAATACATCACCAGTCAGCACCGCTCTGCACTGCTCAGCACCATTCCGCACCGCTCGACATTCTCTGGGATCGTACTGGTTGACCACTGGGAGCACCTGGTCCACCATCACAGTCCCCTGCACGCTCTCCCTCAGCCACCACATGTTGAAATATATTTCTTATATAAACTGCTTGTAGCAATAGTTAGTGTAGTGTTACATTGTTTGGTGGTGCACTTTGCTTGCTTTGCCTATATCCTTGTACCTTCTCTCCTTGTTGAACACTTTTATCCTTTGCAATTCTCTCGACACTTCCCTCAACCCTAAAACCTAAGCCACTAAGCTACCATAGCCATGGCTCCTAAGTCTTGCTGTCCTTAGTATCTTGACATGGTTTCAGAGTTGTTACGCTCTTGGCCTGTGGGCCCCACATGCTTCCGCTGCTTTCCTGTCTGTCGCGCGCCCCGTGGCGCGCGACGCTTTTTTCTTCCCGCCACGCGCTCGGGGCGCGTGGCGGTTTTCTGCCCGCAGTGCCCCCCGAGGCGCGTGACGGCTTCCTGCTTCACGTGCCACCCCGGGGACCCGCGCGTCCCCCCTTGTCAACGGTCGCGTCGCCCCCCGGGAGCCCGTCGCGTCGCCCCGCAACCCCCGCTACCTCGTTGCGACGCCTTTGCGGGACCCGCGCGACGTCGCCCTTGCTCGTCGCGGCGCCCCCTGGACGCCGCCCCTGCTCGTCACGGCGCCCCTGAGGCGCCGCCCCTGCTCGTCGCGGCGCCCCCTGGGCGCCGTCCCTGCTCGTCGCGGCGCAGCCCCCCCTGGCCGCCGCCTCTGCCTCACCTGCGCCCGCGCCTGCTTTGCAGCAGCGCGCGGGCCTGCCCTGCACCAGCGACGCCGCCCCTGCAGCAGCCTCCCCTAGCCCCTGGAGCAGCCGCCCCTGCAGGAGCCGCCACTGCAGCAGCCTCCCCTAGCCCCTGGAGCAGCCGCCCCTGCAGCAGCCGCCCCTGGCCCCTGGAGCAGCCGCCACTGCAACAGCCGCCCCTGGCCCCTGGAGCAGCCGCCCCTGGAGCAGCCGCCCCTGCAGCAGCCGCCCCTGGCCCCTGGAGCAGCTGCCACTGCAGCAGCCGCCCCTGGCCCCTGGAGCAGCCGCACCTGCAGCCGCCCCTGGCCCCTGGAGCAGCCGCCCCTGCAGCAGCCGCCCCTGGCCCCTGGAGCAGCCGCCACTGCAGCAGCCGCCCCTGGCCTCTGGAGCAGCCGCACCTGCAGCCGCCCCTGGCCCCTGGAGCAGCCGCCCCTGGCCCCTGGAGCAGCCGCCCCTGGAGCAGGCGCCCCTGCAGCAGCCGCCCCTAGCCCCTGGAGCAGCCGCCACTGCAGCGCCGCTCCTGGACCCTGTGCAGCCGTGGGGGGAGGGTATGGGGGTGGCGGGTGTGGGGGTGATGAGTGTGGGTGCTACCGTTCCCCTCCTCCTCCTTCTTCGTCTCCCACTGCTGCAGCTGCCGCTGAAGGGGGGTGGATGTGTGGGAGCTGAGGGGAGTGGAGCTAAGGGGGTGTCGTGAGAGTGGAGACAGGGGTGCAGCAAAGGGGTGTATGAGAAGGGGGTGTGGGACTGTTAGGGGAGGTAGAGCGGAGGTCGCCATCGTGTCGTCAGCAGTGCCAGTAGTCCGGAGCCCTCGTGCTCTCGGTAGCCCAGCAAGCCTGCTTCGCCAGTCGCCTGTGGGTCCGTTGCTCCTGCCGCTCGTCGTAGCCGCGGAGCCAGATACTCCCGTAGTCCGGTGCCCTCGTGCGCTCGGTAGCCACTGTGCGCGCCGCTCCTGTTGCCCGTGTGACTGCGGCTTCACCTGTCGCCTCCTATCTCCACCCCTGTCACAGTCCCTCCTTCTCCTCACTTCCCCTCTCCTTCTGCTGCGCTTGGTGTACCCCTTCAGGGGGTGTCTCTGCATTGGCTTCCTGCTGCAAGCAGTTTAGGGGGTGTGTTGAAATATATTTCTTATATAAACTGCTTGTAGCGATAGTTAGTGTAGTGTTACATTGTTTGGTGGTGCACCTTGCTTGCTTTGCCTAGATCCTTGTACCTTCTCTCTTTATTGAACACTTTTCTCCTATGCAATTCTCTCGACACCTCCCTCAACCCTAAAACCTAAGCCACTAAGCTACCATAGCCATGGCTCCTAAGTCTTGATGTCCTTAGTATCTTGACACCACAGGCTGTCCCGCGGTGCCGCCCTCACCCGCCCCCCCTCCCCAAAGCTCCACGTTGTCTCCGCCCACAAGTCCGACCGCACCACCTCCTGCTCTCCCCTTTCCCCTTGCTCCCCTCCCACAGGCTCGCCTCCCCCAGGTTTGCCTCCCCCTTGCTTGGCTCCCGCCTGTTCACTGCCTGCCTGTGGTGTGGTCGGGCGGGCAGTGAAGGGCACGTCAGCAGCAATGAAGACAGCGGTGGTGTGCGGCTCCTGCTGCACCTGTTGTATGAGTTCCCGCGCTGCACGCATGCACCCCGTCATCATCCCTCCACCATGCTCGCATTGGCCCGTCTGCCGTCCCTCTTTAGCCTCTGCGCCTGTGAGGGGGAGATGGAGGGGAGGGTGAGAGGAGAAGATGTGGAGAGGAGAAGAGGAGAAGAGGAGGAGAGGAGAGGACGGTAGGGGAAGAGAGTGGAGGGTGGAGGAGGAGAGGAGGGAAGAGAGAAGAGGAGGATAAGGCGGTATATACATGGTGGCATTCATGACATGGCATGGCAGTCACAGCGCAAGTGCACTGCAACGAGGGGGCGGGGGCAGGCGGGGAGAAAGGGAGTGTGCATTGCGGGTTGTGCAGGCCAGAAACGTGCACTCGCACTTGCACTGATCAAAGTGTGACTTGGCCCTCACCAGTCGGAAGGCGATAAATTCTGAGAGGAAGTGAACAGCAATGAAGCTCGGGGGCAGGCGGGCCATGAGGGCTCGAGCCATGGCGTGCCATGGCCGGCTGCAGGGCAGCATGTGGAACGATATGAGGTCCGTGTGAGGCTCGACCCCTACCCTCTCCCATGTGTCCTTCACCCACACAACCACTTGCTTGTGCCGCCTGCATGCATGGGAACAAGGGAGCAAGGGAGAAAGGGAGCATAGAAGCACGGGGGCAAAGGACATGGCTTGGTTGACCCCTACCCTCTCCCGTGTGTCCTTCACCCATACCACCACATGCATGGGAGCATGGGAGCATGGGATTGCAGGGTCAGCTTGGCAGGTCACACACGCACCATGCATGCAACAAGGCATGGACACCCATCAAAACAGCTGTCCCCATGCATGAATGCAACAAGGCATGTCCACTGGTTGCATGCATGATGGCATCCACCATGTTGCCCCTTGTTTGTATGCACGTGCCCCCGTTGCCCTACACAATAGCACGGCGTGTCCATGCAAGCGGGCGAGCACGGAGTCAGTGGCAGCCGGCATGGTGGCGTTCACTGTGTTGCCTCTGGTAGGTACGTGCTCCACGCCATACGCCGCCAGCTTGCCCAGCATTGCCGCCACTGGCTCTGCCAGGAGGGAAGAAAGAGAGGAGGGAAGGCAGAGAGTGGAGGGAAGGCAGAGAGTGGAGGGAAGGTAGAGAGTGGAGGGAAGGAAGAGAGTTGAGGGAAGGCAGCGAGTGGAGGGAAGGCAGAGAGTGGAGGCGAACAAAAGAGAGGAGGAGACAGAAAGAAGGTGAGGGGAAAGAGGAAGAAGGCGAGGGGAAAGAGGAAGAAGGGCATGAGGGAGCGAAGGCGCGTGCCCCATGCCGTGCACAGCCCAGTAGTGCTGCCACAGGCTCTGCACACGGCATGACACGGAGGGGTAACCTTGCTTGCATGGCTGTCTTGGGGAAGGCGATAGGCGGAGCGAGAGCGGGAGGGCGAAAGGGAGAGACGTTCTAGTAGGTGGTATGCGGATTCACCGCTGCCGTGTTGAACGGCATGTGGGTTGGTTCAGCATGCCTCAGGCCACGTGGCACCCGCTTTTGTGGCCACGTGACGCTAACGGTAGCCTTTCCCCTGAAGACTCTCCTCCCGACTCACTACTGCACCGTTGAAGGGCATGTGCGGCTTTGAGACGCCTCAAAACTAGGTGTCTCCATTCTCTGACTCCAGTGGTAAGAACTTCCCCTGATGATCCCCACCCCGGCTGACTCACCACTGCCTTGTTAAACGGCACGTGGGGCACAGGCCCTGTGTGATCCAGATCGCAGCTGTGTGCCGCTGCTGCCACTGCTGCTGCCACCGCTGTTGTCACTGCCGCTGATTCTAGTGCTGCTGGAGACATCAGCCTCCTTGCGCTTCTCTCCGCCTTGCCTCCGCCGCCCATTGCTGCAACGCGCTCCGCAGCTACGCCCGGCACGTACCCTCTATAAGCCTCTTCGGGGCGTGCAGCTTTGAGCCGTAAACGAGCGCGCCCATCATGGCCTTCAAGCACGCATCTCTGAAGTTTAGCCCGGCCACTGGACGACGCTCAGGACTCGACGCAAACGTCACCGTGCTATGACCATTAACAGCCGGCACAGCTGTCTTTCCAAAGTAATTCCGGGAACTTTACGCCCGAATGTCCGGGATTAATAAGGTATTCTGCCAATGTTTCCAGTGGTTCCAGTGGATCTAAAAGGAGGTGATCATGCAATGGTTGGCTTGTTAGCACGAAGGCTATCCGAAGGAGGACGAGCAGAGCAAACAATCCACCAAGCTTCGCCATAGCGCGCCGAAAAATAGCACTCGTGAAAGAGAGAGGCGAGGCGAGAGAGAAATCATGGTGGTGCTCTTGAGCTGGTCTGCTGTCGTACAGATTGCGTGGCTTCCTTCTGTCGGCAGTGAAAATGGTCGTAAATCTTAGTCATTGGCTTTGATGGCTTGAATCGCACGTGTCCAGTTTTTGCTGGCTGATCATCGCATCATCGACGGCAGAGAGGGATGTTAGGAAAATAAGCTAAATAGAGCGCATGTAGAATGTGATATTCGGCGATATGTGTGTGGTTCGACTATATTCAAGGTCCTAAACTGCCTTTGGGTAAGTTGCTGAGTGTGGTCCCTAATGCCAGTGGAGAAGTCGGAGGTCTTTGTGAACGCGAGGAAGCTTATCGATTCCGCCATCCGCAATCACGGTCGAATAAGCATATTACGTGTCACACATAGAAAGTGCCAGTATTAACCGTTTTCTATCATCAATGATACAAGCTGACTAAGGAACTGCAGAAACACACTCAGCAGTCGTAAGAGAGCACAAGCCAGCAAGATATAAGAAGTTCGCCATCGTAGGGAGTTGTGCGATTCAGTAAGGACGTGGGCCCAATCGAGTTTGATCGCCTCGATCAGAAGCGATCAACAACTTCGAGGAAGCCTGGAAGCCAATTTCAGGCAATCGGGGGCAATTAGCTAATCGCCCCAACTCAATCAGACCCGATTTCCACCCCAATCAAACTCGATTTTGCTCAATTACCCTCGATCAGTTGATTGCATGTGATGGAGGGCCATAACTCGATGGTTGCTTGCCATGTGATGTTACACTGTTGAACTGAGTCTTGCCATAGCACATGGCGAGAACTCTCCAGGGGTTGACGATATTAGAGGGAAAAAAATTCGTTCACCAGGTGAATTTTGGTCGCCAATCTCTGCGTTTGCCGAGCAGCTTCAAAACTTCTACGAAAAACATCGCTGATCGGGCGTTTCGAGCAAAGTGATCACCAACAATCCGATCAGATTAGATCAGATCAGAGCCGATCAGACCCGATTGGTTCCACGTCCTAAGGACGTGGGCCCAATCGAATTTGATAGGATCGGATTGAATCGGGTTGGATTGGTTCAAATTGCTTGCGCCGCTCGATCAAAGCCGATTTTCTTCGAAAACCCTCTGACCCAGACGAGCCCACTACTCACAGGACTATTCACCCACGGGTACCAAACGGATCCATTCTTCACAAGAGGAAATTCGCAGCAGTTCGCAGCAGCAAAAGGAGTTTATTACGTAAAGCTGGCACCGACCGCATCTGGGTACCAGGGTATTCACTACTACGGGAATTACTGTTACAGGAAGCACACGACGGAGTAACCTTGGGACATTTCGGGGTAGAGAAAACACGGCAGCAGCTGAGCGGTATTATTACTGGCCCGAAATGTTGACTGACGTACAGCGACACGTGGCATCCTGTCCCACTTGCTAGCTCATGAAATCATCACGGAAGCGGCCGGCAGGGCAGTTACAGCCGATACCACCCCCAGAGCGTGCTTGGCAGCAGGTGACAATGGACTTCGTCACGGGGTTACTGTGAGAACAGGAAAATGAATGAACTAGGAGTGAAATGAGTACAAGTAGGAAACCCTAGAATTGTGTACCCCCTATAGGCTAACCCACTATAGCCTACACAAGCATAACATATATAATGTTTGACACACCCTCATAGGCAAAGTGGGGGAGAACAAGGGGTCACAAGACCAGTCAAGCAAAGCAAAGCAAGCTCAGGGTGGATCACAAAGTCACCACACAGTCCGAGCACAAGAGCAGGGCCAGAGGCCAGTTCACATGCAGGAGTACAGACATATATATAAAACTAGACAAGCAAGAGCAGGTATATATATATGTCACAGTACAAGTGAAGTCAAGAGGAGAGCAAGTGAGGCAAGACAGGCACAAGACCCAGCTGGGTGCAAAAGCGCTGATGGTCACAAGGCGCGAGTGCCTTGGTGAACACATCAGCAGTGTTGGCCTCAGAGGCCACGTACGCAAGTCTCAACTGACCACGCTGCTGCAGCTCACGAGCAAGGAAGTAGCGGAGAGCAATGTGCTTCGTTCTGTGCTCCAAGCGCTGCTCTCGACACAAGGCCAGCATGGCCTTGTTGTCTACGTACAGCACTGGAGGAGAACGAGGCGGCTCTCCAAGGTCAGTCAGCAGGTAGGTGAGTCAGCGAAGCTCCTGTGCAGCCATGGCCCCGGCGTAGATCTCAGCCTCACAACTGGAGCCGAGAACCGAAGACGAGCGAGTAGACCGCCACGAGACAGAGCCGGAACCAAGGCTGAAGGTGTAACCCTGTGACGACCGCTGCGTAGCCTGGTCGTCAGCCCAAGAAGCGTCCGCGTGGCCGGTAAGGACCACTGGACTCCGCCCTCCAAGCACTAGCCCCATGCCCGACGTACTGCACAGGTAGCGCAATACCCTCTTCGCTGCAGCCATGTGCTCTGGTCTGTGTCTCCCAGGAGCAACATAGCGTGCAAGAATGCTCAGAGGGTATGCAAGGTCAGGTCGTGTGCAGGTCATCAGGTACATGAGGCAGCCAACAAGCTCTGCATACGGACCACTCGACTCTACGGACTCATCCGAAGGCAGAGCTGAGAGTGAGTGGCGAGTAGGCAGAGGAGTGGCCTGAGGCGAGGAGTACATGAAGCCGAAGCGCTGAAGGACCTGCTGCACCATGTGTGACTGAGTCAAGGTAATGGTGCGGCGTGCTCTGTCCCGAGTGATCTGCAAGCCAAGGTAGCTGCGCAGTTCACCCAGGTCTGTGCACGTGTGTCTCTTCAGCAGCTCGGACTTCACGTAGGCGAGTCCAGCAGTGTCCGCTGTGGCAAAGACCAAGTCGTCGACGTACACGAGGATGTAGAACGGCGGCAGGGAAGTGTCGGTGCGAAGAAACAGCGACGGGTCAGCAGTAGAAGGAGCAAACCCAAGAGCCGCAAGCGTAGTCCTCAGTGTGTCGTGCCACTCACGCGGTGCCTGGCGGAGACCGTAGACTGGCCGTCGGAGGCTCCACTGGGTGCCAGGAGGGAAAGTCCCAGTGAAGCCAGGTGGACGGCGAAGCCAGATCTCCTCGTGCAGGCTACCCTGCAAGAACGCAGTGCTGAAGTCGAGAGAGTGAAGCTCGTAGTCGCGCTGAGCGGCTATGTGCAGCAGCACCCGAAGAGTAGTCATCTTCGGGGTGGGAGAGAAGGTCTGAAAGTAGTCAACTCCCTGCCGCTGACTGAAGCCACGAGCAACGTACCGTGCCTTGAAGACAGGTGGAGAGCCCGGCGGCCGCTTCACCCTGAAGATCTGTCAGATTATTATAGCTGATGCATGTTTGTAGGCTATAGTGGGGTAGCACATATGGGGTACAGTTTGCTAGGTTTGTATTTGTACCCAACTCTGACTTAGTCAATTCATTCCTGTTCAGTTAGTTTCACATGGTATAGAGCGGGTCCCTCCTAAGGACCGTTCTTTGGGCCCACCCACGATTTTTTTTTTTCCTGCCCGGAGCGCGCCCTATTCTCCCCGAGGCGCGCTCCCCCTAGTGCGCGTCGATCTGCCCTTGTGGCGCCCCGAGAGTCGCGCGCGCGACTCATCTTTTTTTTTTTCGCGCGCGCGGCCCAGGCCCCACTTCGCGCGGCCCTTACAGCCGCGCCGCGCCGCCCTCTCGGCTCTGCCGCGCCGCGCCGCCCTCAAGACGGCCGCGCGGCCTCTTCGTCGCTACAGCAGGCCCCCCCCGCTGCACCTCTGTCGGCCCCGCAGCCGCCTTACCTGACGGCCGCCGCCTCACCTGACGGCCCGCCGCCTCGACTTCTGGCCCGCCACCTCACCAGACGGCCCCCCCGCCTCACCTGACGGCCCACCGTCTCACCTGCTGGCCCGCCACCTTACCTGACGGCCCCGCCGCCTCACCTGACGGCCCGCCGCCACCTTACCTGACGGCCCCGCCGCCTCACCTGACGGCCCGCCGCCTCACCTACTGGCCCGCCACCTGACCTGACGGCCCCGCCGCCTCACCTGACGGCCCGCCGCCTCACCT